CAGCGAGGTTGCCGGAAAGTGCGGTGAGGTGAAGATCAATATGGTGTCAACAAGTCTCAGAAAAAACTGTCAATTTTCCTTCTGGCTGCCGTGTTATATACACAATCCGCAAGGCTCGGAATCATCTCCACTCTCAGCAATTTAGGATATAGCAGAGACTCTCCATTGTTCACACGTCTGTTTGCTGCCAATCTCCATATGCTCCCATTTCCTTCTCAATGTTTCTGTTGAGACCGCTGCAAGCGAAGGGTCCTGTCGGTGAAGAGCTTCCTAGCCATAGCAAAGCAAGCAGCGAACAAGGCGAAGCTACAACGGCAAGAAAACGTATCAGTATTTGTCTCGAGATCCAGTATTTTTGCTCAATTGTGCTTCCAAGTTCGTTAAGAACGGATATACGTACGAAATGACAACGCCGAGAGGGAGCAACTCCGGGGGGATTCTCTTAAGCATGCGAATTCTCTGGGTGATGGTGTGCGCTGCGGGTTGTCAATGTCAGTTGCTTGGTCGAAGGTCTATAGGTCAGCCCGTCTTACCACTTTGGTCGTCCTCCTGTTAGAGATAGTTAGTATGAGTCTTCCACCATCCGGCACATACTCCTGCTCACCTTAGCCCTGAACCTGGCTCGGGTGTTGTGGAATGGTCTGGCAGTCTGTTTTTGGGCGGATTGACGGAAGGCAGCTTGCCGCATGCCAGCTGCCCGAAGGGGCTGCAGCCTCAAGAGTCTCACAGTGTTCATCCTTGCTGTGTGCTTGGAGGCGGAGTGGAGAGTTAGAAGCGAAGCTGAAGAAAGAGATGTTTGGGACGAGGAAGAGTGACGTTGGAGTTGGTCGCAGTTGAAGTTGCTCCCAAGCTCTGTGCAGTACGACAGCCAATCAGAATCAGGCCACTCTTGTTACGCCTTAGTAGCTTCTGCAACCTCCGACTTTCAACCTCATTGCAGTCCTCAGGTGACAACCTCCCCTCTGAAGCTTCCCTTTTCAGCTCAACCTCAACACTCGAGCTTCTGTCTATATTCCACCGCGTTCACAAGAGGATCCTACCACCTGACAAGATGACTCAAATTGAGGTCCCTGACGCTGAGGAGCTCGGCGGCAACGTCACCAAACCCTTCAAGTTTGTTACGGGTACGAAGGCTTCCAGGTCCACGACTGCTTTGAAATTCGTGCTAACGATATAACAGCTGGATACGACGCCCGTTTCCCCAACCAGAACCAGTACGTTCCCTTCCACCGTGGCCGAAAACATCCAGCAGCCTAATCGTGGGTATTCTAGGACAAAACATTGTTGGCAAAACTACGTCGATTATCACAAGTGTATTCTTGCAAAGGGCGAAGATTTCAAGCCATGCAGACAGGTATATGCCCATGGCCCAAAAGACCGGGACTCATATGCTGACCTGTTTCAGTTCTATTTGGCATATCGATCGCTGTGCCCTAGCTCTTGGGTTCATAGGTGGGACGATCAGCGTGAGGCTGGAAACTTTCCCGTCGACTTGGAGCACTAGAGAGTCGAATGAGTTATCGGGATGCAGATGGAGGAAGAAAAAACCCGGCCTACAGACGCGGAGTTCTCACGGCAAGCCCAGGGTGGCATGGATATTGTACATAGACCCAGATGAAACCAGTGGCAGCCAACACACTCCTCCAATACAGCTACGTGCGTGGTCCGATGCATCGTTGTACTGCTTTCAGTCTGTGTCTATCATGCAGCTTCCAGACCTGTGTATTGGGCCGCCGAAAGTGTCTACTAATATTCGTGGGTTCAACAATAACCACAGCAATCGTACCGTGCTGATGCGCAAAAATTCGATTGGTTCAGGAATAGATAGTACTTGGCTCAAGGTTCCCATAGATGTTAACGCTATCATTTGAGGGCAGTGTGAGCCCCATGGTACTGTTTTGCCAGGTCACTCCTGCATATGTCGCCCTTGATCCCAAGGGGTCGATGCGTTCACAGCACCAGATGCAGTTGCTCATGTGAGCTCTGGGGTCTTCTATTCGATGCTTGAGCTAGTGCTCTCAGTGCCAACCGCCCGAAGGCCGCTGTTGTCCCTCGGATCGCCCGCCAGGACCAACGCAGCAGTAAGACAATGATCAAGCCCTTTAGTTGTCATCTTCCGCAAGGCTTCTCTTGGGGTCTTCTCTAACCGGCATTGATGTAGGCTGTCTAGACACGACCGCTCATCCAATTCTTTTCATTTCTTGACCGAACTCCTCCTCAATGCCTCCAACAACTCGGGCCGGGAGTTCAGTAGCTGAACTGCTTGTGCATAAGCATACCACTGCCTGGATCTCTTGTTCTTCTCGGGCCAGTTATCCTTCTCCTCGGTCACGACAGCTTCGAAGAAGTGGTAACTCGCTTTAGGAGCGTGTTTCGTAACGGCAGTTGTTGGCCTCGTATCCGGAATGTGACCCAGGTCTCTTTCGACCTTGCAGATGATCCCGGCTTCTTCCCACGCTTCTCGGACGGCAGCAACTGACGCCGAGGCTTCATCTAATTCCCAGCCGCCTTTGGGAAGCACCCAGCCATTACGCCGGGAGGATTGAATGAGTAGAACTCGGGTCTTGTCTGCAGACAGGGGGACAACACCTGCGACCAGTCTCTCGCCCTTTGTTCCATAGCCTGCAACACGATGAGCACAAGAAATTCAAGCTGACCGAAAAAAAGCAGTGGCATACATACGCTGATTGGCCGTGCCGGTGCGAGAGGTCATGGACATTTCTTTGGCCATGATTGTGGGAACCGCCGGGCTTGGACGGACGGCCACAAGCCAGAAGTCTTTAAGGAAAGAACCGTTTGGGTACGACTGTCTCGGAGGGATATTCTAGGCTAACAAAGTGGCAGAAGCGAACGTAGAAAGAGACGGTGAAGAAAGGCACGTGGGAACACTATCGAGCTGCTCCCGGGTGCAAGGCGGCGAGGTCAGTCTCTAGAAAGAGAAGACGAAGGGGATCAAAGATGACCCATGGTGACGATAGCAGCGGGGTGTGCGATACAGCGCATGAATGAGGGAGACCTTCAGTCCCGTGTGGCACGGGGCTGAGGGAACGAAGTTGACGTGTAGAGCATCCTGAGGAAGGGAATAGCCATAGTTATGTAGCCTTTTGGACAAGTTTAGTTTTTTTGGCAGTTGAGTGTCGGAGGTGCAGGTGCATAGTGGGTGGACACTCATGGGGGAGCACGAAAAAAAACATCGGTAGCGGCGATTTCCTGACCTGGGCGAGGGCGGGCAATGGCGAATCGCAGTTTCCGACCAGTGACCCAGCGGTGCCAGGGGACAGGGAACGAGGCATGCGAGGCCATCAAGCCATGTTCCATTCTCTTTTGCTTTTGATGCTGCATGCTTGATTCATTGCTCGCTCATGGTCCATCGACGTCCCTCGTGCCTCATGCCTCATGACTGATGCGGCTAGAGACGCTGCGGCAGGAGAACGACCAGGCACTCCCTCACTTCATCGAGTGGGATTTTTGGTATTTTATTTGGCTTCCCAAACGGCATCAGAGGCTTGTCAACCGACTAATTGCTAGGTTCCAGCACATCTGGTTCGCTCGAATCGCTGCGTCCTTTGCTGGCCCATGTCACTCCAAACCGCTTCCGTGTCCACTTCCAACGCTTCCACCGCTTCCACGCCATTCCCCCCTTCGAATCGAAGCACACGACGAACATACACGTGCCCATCTTCACGTTTATACTGGTCTAAATTTCTGATACTCGACCCCCCGTCTTTCTTCCTCCTAACCGCCTTTTCTGCTTCCCTCGACGCTTCCAGTTACGGTTCCTCGGCTTGATCGCCCTTAACACCGCTCATCCAAACAACCTCCAGTTCGCCTCGGGGCTAACGGTGCCCCTCCTCAGACTGCTCACGCGAGCGCCCAAGATCCAGGCAGGAAGTGGGGGTTCTCTCCTGAAAGACTGCTGCGTTGTGTTCCAGCCTTTAAGGTCCAGTACACCAGTACACCGCGCACTGCCAGAGTATCCTCCATTGGTTGCCTCGGAGCCAGTCGTGTGCATATCCCACGAACGAGTTCCACGGGAAGCATTGCCTGGATATGACTGTGGGTTCTCCGGCCGATAAGTTGCTCCTTTGATGCCCTTGTGTCGGACCGCCTGTGACCTTGGATATTGATGGGAATTCGTCATTGCCTGCCTGCCAACGGGAACCAGGTGACATCATATTGAGCCGCGAATGAGTCGTCATTCTGCCTCGCTGGGAGACCGACTTGTCCATTCAAAGATACTTGTGTAATGCGTGAAGGCTCAGATATTCCTTCTTTGGCTTGAGCAGGGGATCCACTCGTGCTCGCGGTTGATCATGACAAACGAAATCTCACTTTTGAAGCCCCTTGGTAAGTTCTATTTGCGACGGACAACTGACCCTGGTTCCTTCACAAACATGAGCCATGGCCCGACCCGCTTGTCCTGGGCTATCATATTATGTTGGCCACCTGTTCAGCGAGGCTGGCTCCCCTGCGTCGAGCAGATGATTGAATCTGACTGTGATCAGGCTATCAGAGAAAGAATTGGTGTGGATATTGCAAGAATGCCGCAGGCAGTAGGTCACCGTCCTTCCCCAGCGCCCTGGCGTTATTTGCCACCTACCCCTTGTCTATGTTTTCTTTTGCAGAGGCCTTAGCTGAAAGTGCAGGCTCCTCGTATTACATGTCGTGTGACAACATGCGAGTCGATCACTATCAATACCTGATGGACAGGGGCTGGAGGAGATCAGGATCGCTCTATTACAAACCGGACCTCCTGCGTTCATGTTGTCCCCACTACACGATACGGTATGAGATGCTTTACAACAAAAACAATATGGTGGAGGCCCGCTAATATCCACAGTCTCAAGGCATCAGAATTCCGACCCGCAAAAGACCAACGACAAGTGATGAATCGATGGAACAACTACGTTCTCGGCCCAGAATACAAACGAAAAGCTGCTATGCTGTGCCCACAATCGCGAGAGCAAGTTGAAGCACATGGTTGTGGGAATGCAGCTAACATGCACAGGGAAAAGCGCCGTCTGAGAGACAAATTTGACCTGTCGACCGCGGTCCACAAAGCGGAATACGACAATGTTAAGCGTCCAGTGGGCAAAAAGACTGGTGTGTCCATTGAACCTGCTCATAGGTTCGAGGTCAATATCGAAGGCGATAGCTTCACAAAGGAGAAGTGAGTACCAGCACGAGCTTGCGACCTACATCTCACAAGCGTCAGATACGAGATCTTCTTGAAATATCAGTTGCGGATACACAAAGACCCTGCATCCCGGTGGAAAGAGTCTGACTTCAAGCGATTCTTATGCACTGGTCTTGACCGGAAGATTCTCAAGATCGGCGGCAAGACACTCAAACTGGGGTCGTACCACCAGTGCTATCGCCTTGATGGAAAGCTGGTGGCTGTTGCGGTTCTCGACCTTCTACCCCATGCCGTCAGCTCAGTCTATCTCTTGTAAGTTCTGATCTTTTCAACTTGGAATACACTACTCATCACTCACAAGCTATGATCCTGAGTACGAGGCCTGGGATCTGGGAAAGATGAGTGCCCTGCGAGAGATATCGCTCGCCAAAGAAGTCGGTTACGAGTACTATTACATGGGTGTGTTGAGAGTGCCTTTCGCGTGTTTAATGGCTCATCACAAGTAGGCTATTATATCCACACATGTACAAAGATGCGCTACAAAGCCGCTTTCTCTCCGACCTACATTCTCGGTATGTCAACCTGTTACATGCCACATCCTTCGCTGACGACTTTTTAGACCCAGAGAGCTATGAATGGAATCTTTTCGATGATAAATATCGCCAGGAGCTCGACAAGAGGAAATACGTCTCTCCTTCCCGTGATCGGAAACGTGGAGTGGATGCTGCCGAGGGCACCATTCAACAAGCAGGTGCCAGAGGGACTTCGGATAGCGGCCCTGCTCCTAAAACCACGAAAGAAAGAGGACGAATGTTTGACGATGAACAAGATCTAGAGTTCGACGAACCCCCAAGCGACGAAGAAGATGCGGAAATACCCGAAGGATCCTTGTTTGATTACGAGATACCCGGTGTGCTGACGAAAGATGAAGTGAAACGTCTTGATCTCGACCACTGGCGCCTCGTCGTAGGCAATACTCTGATCGAGTTAGAGGTATAAGCTCCCAGCTTCCGAGGGTCGATCAGCGTCTTACTAACCACTTTGTAGGATCTCCGGGACTGGGAAGATGGGAAAATTGACGACCCGGATACTATGAAAGGAATGGCGGCAGAACTTGCTGCAGTTACGGGGCCGAAACTCCTCCAGAACAGTGCGCTGGCAGTATTCTGACAACCAGGACCAATTATACCCTCGCGACAATGATGAGCGAGAGCAGTCAGGCCACTTCGGAGTTCAACTATGTACAAAACCGGCTCTCAGCCCAGGTGGCCTCAAGACGACACCGCAGTCCTTACAACTTATACGGCCGCTGCACCTGAATCTCCCTCGATACAGGCCCTACCTTGACCAAGACTGCCACGAAAACCTACGACTGACTAGGATTGATGGCCTCGAATACATCCACGGAACATTTCACCCGACTGCACTCCTACGAAAGAATTCGACCTATCGGTTACCAGCGCAATAAAGACAAGGAAGCTGGCGCCCAACAGGTGGGCGAGCTCCTCTCTGGATGCCATCATAGTTGAGATATCTCGGCTGTTGAGAGGCTCACCCTTAGAATGCAAGCTGAAATGATTCTCTTCAGAGCGCCGCGCCTAGTACGACCAGCACTACGATTACCTCGAAGTCAAGTCAAGATGTTGCTTCGGATAGAAACCAAGATCTAGGTTCAGATCAAACAGCCGGACGGTGATGTGGAAGTTGTGGTGACTATTCAGAATCCTGGCAACCTTGTCCGCTTCCATCCCTACCAACATCACTTCTGACACCCGGACGAAACTCTTCGTGTCCCCGACGGAAGAAATATTGGCATGGAATATCTATGTGATAGTTCGTGACTAGTTGTGAGCGATACAGCCAGACTGGGGATGAAACAATGGGCAAAATAAAACGATGTTGCTTGATTGCCAACCCTATATCGATTTGTCTTTATCATCCTTCCGTTGGATATTTCTCTACATATCACGGCACCAAACACCTGTTCATCAGGAATCGCCAGTTGATATGTGTGCTCTCGGTTCGCATGAGTGGTCCCCCCGAATCGAAGGACATACTTATCCATCTGTTGCTGCCTTCCAAACGACTGGGAGTGAAGATCAAACAACCCCTTTTTGTGTGACTCTTTAGGGGGTGACTGACTTTGCCATGAAATCGGCGATATGTAAACGGAAAAGTGAAACCTCATGCAGGCGTTGATGCCTTTTCTTTTTCTTTTTTGTCGGTATAAACATATTCCCTCTCTCCCCTAAGAAAACTTGGTCCCTACTAGCGACGTCTTCAACCTGCGGAACTGACATCAAAGGAATTCGATATGATGAAAATTCTATTTGCGTCTCTAAGCCTTCTGGCCTTGGGTGATCTTGCCTTGGGTCTCAATCACAATGTCGACACAGTACTTGATACACAGCCATACCATCGCATGCCGATTCCAACGACAGTCCTGATACGTCCTTCCACAACCACCACAGTCAACCAATTGATCTCCCCCTCGTTGCAAGCGAAGGGTAGGCGCGTGTGCGAGGGGGAAATGTCCTTTTGCAACACCGCAGGCAATTGTTGTCCGGCAAATACTTACTGCACCGTGGAAATTTTCCAAAACGGAGCCTGTTGCGGACACGGTGCTTCCTGTACTGGCCTGTCCAGTCCCGTCACCGGGCTCGCCACGGGTAGCTGGCCAGCTTCCAGCGCTGCGAGTGCGCAGAGAGCGCCGGGGGTCTTTGTTGGCCTCGCACATTGGCTGAATCTCGGTTCGGGCTATCCTGTAAGCGACACATCTGCCAGCGACGGCGTGGTTGGTGATGTGTGCTTTGAAGAAGAGAACCTCTCTCCCGAGGCATCTGTCCCTGGCGCAGATATCAAGAAAGGAGGCGGATGCGGTCACGGGGGTGGTCACGGCGGCAGTCACGGCGGCAGTGATGGCGATCACGGAACAGAAGGAGGAGATGTTGGAAGGGGATCCGCAGGAGCAGGGTTTCAGGGCGCTGGGGGCAGAGGTGCAACAGGGGGAGTGAGTGAAGCTGCCCCGGTGCCTCTGCCCTTGAAGTTGTTGGGGTTTCCTTTCGTTCTTGCGCGACACGCCGGGGCAGCCACTCACCCAACCATCAACATGACCTCGGACGCAATTGGCAAGCTTAAGCTCATGGGAGCTAATGAGGCTATGATCATGGCCCAGAACAAAACAAGCAGTGCCGCCAGCATGCCTCGACCTCGGAGGGTGTTTGGCCTGGGTTTTGCTCTGATCCATCGAGTCAGAGCAGCCACGCCTCCGATCAAGACCACGATCCCACATCCATCGGCCGTGGCCAAATTCATTGGGGGTAACGCCTATTACCTCGAGAAAATGAACTACACGAGCAACGCAGCGGACAGGGCTCAATCGCCACGGGTAGTGAGTGTTCCATTGGCCCTGGCAAGACACATAAAAACCACGGTGCTAGGCACTCACAATGTCGACCAGTGAGATTAGCAGCAATGGCGTCCTTCCGGACGAGTTGGGTTGAAATGCTGGACGTGGAGGCTTGCTGGTAATTTGACACAAGACTAAACTTTGGTGGACAGGCACAAGGGTGGCTGCGCGAGGAGTCTGGTGGTTCATTGGCCCTAGTACTAATACTTAGGCAGCATCAGAGAAGGACAGAAATCAGCATCAATGATTTGTTCGTATGCAGACATTTGTCTCTTTTCTCGTTGATTCTTGATGTTTGTTTATGGAGCAGAGCAGTCCCAAAGGGGCACCTTTTCCGAACACTGTTAAAGCAGCGACTCTACCGAAATGGCCTTTGCTCGGAGCTTGGACGCCGAGTCGTGTGTGCTTTGACTAAATTTCTCAATACTTCTTGACGGCCAGATAACTTTTCTATCCCATACACAAAACAGCTTTCCCTAAAGCTCATCGCAATCAAAGCCTTTTATCGTCCCTGTACTTTCTCAAGTCTACTCTCCCTCTCCGTCCACACGATGTTTCGGAAGCAATTACTTCGCCAGGTGCGCACCATCTCAGACTCACTATCTGCGTCTCCGGCACGGATACGCCAGTCGCCATTTTCTTCCGCCACCTTCATATCTCCCCGGACATCCAGAAACGCCTACCTCTCAACACGGGTAGGACAGAGATGGCAATCCACCGACGCGCAGCCACAGAAGCCTGCCACGGAAGCGGCTCCTTCAGAAGAGGCAAAAGCCGCGGAGGAGGCAAAGGCAGACCCTCTAAAGGATGAGCTTGAGAAGGCCAAAAAGGAGGTTATCGACTTGAAGGTACTGTGCGGATTCCGCAATGTGTGCTCTGGATAATGCGACGCGGGCTAATACTTCGGGCTCTCTAGGACAAATACCTCCGCTCCGTTGCGGACTACCGCAACCTTCAAGAGCGAACCCGTCGAGACATGGAATCCGCTCGCCAGTTTGCCATCCAGCGGTTCGCATCCGACCTACTCGATTCAATAGATAACCTGGATCGGGCACTCTCATCAGTGCCTCAAGAAGCCCTTGGGACCAACACCTCTTCCTCCGAACCTAATGTCGCCGCCTCTGCCGCATCCACCTCGGAGCCCAACAAGGACCTGGTCAATCTGTTCTCGGGCCTGAAGATGACGGAAGAAATTCTCATGTCCACCTTGAAAAAGCACGGTCTGGAGCGCTTCGACCCCCTGGAGGGCGGAGGGCGCAAATTCGACCCCAACACGGACGAGGCCACTTTCTTCACAAAAGTCGAGGGCAAAGAGGACGGTGATGTCTTTTACACCCAGAGCAAGGGATATAAACTGAACGGGCGTGTTGTGAGAGCGGCCAAGGTCGGAGTCGTAAAAAACTCGTAGCCTTGGCTTGTTTCGACGTCAAAATTCGGGGCCACTTGTTTGACCCCGGTGTACCAAAAGTTTTGCGACCTTTCAATCTCGTTGCTTCCGTCTCTGCGCTTCCTGCATGTGGGTGACACCAAAAAGACAGGTTTAGAGATGACGCGAAGAAGGGATTCTACAAAAATCGGACGATATGTCGGCTCTCATCTTAGAAGTGACGGGATCACGGGAGAGTGGAGCTGCACATGGTGATAATGTGTGTGTGTGTGTGTGTGTGTGTGTGTGAGAGTTGTGTGACGGCTAACATGTTCCGTCTTGGAAAATCTGATGTGGAAGGGCACTGGGAATAATAATGGGCATCGTGCAGGACGGCAATGGCGGCGGCTGAGGTTGGGATTTTTGGTGGTCTGTGTCTGTCTATCTGTCTGTCTATATCAAGCCCACCAGCGGTGTCGAGATGATGACCACGAATCCGCATGACATGTTGCTGCAACGTGCCTTCAAAAATGTACTTACACCCCCTGACATTCTCCCCTTCGGGCTCTTGGGCTCTTGGGCCCTCGGGTTCTCCTCTGCCTTTGTACAGCTTACTCCTCTTCTCTTCATTACATTATGTAGGCATGTAATTGGGATTACTAGCCAGACCTACTACCTGCTACCGATGTAGCAGCCCTAGGTACGCACATCTTATTCTATTCTATTCAGAGAACACCTCTCCGCTGAAGGAAGATCTGAAGGTTCTGAAGAAAAGTGGAAGTAATGGGATAAGTAGTAATACAGTATAAGTACAAGTACAAGTACAGGAACAAGTATAATAATTATACATATACCTATACCTACATCTTTTCGCGAAAAACATTCCCGTGTTTTGTGCAGCTTTCCTTGGTATGGGAGTGGGTATATTTTGGAGGATTGAAGAGTTGAAGAGTTGAAGGGCACACGCGTGGTGGCCGTCCCGTCCCATGGTATACTTAGATCAAATACTGGCTGGCTGGTTGGTTGGCTCCTCAGGCAGGCAGGCAGGCGGGATGATGGACCTCCCATGATGATGGGCCGAGTGGGATCGAGGAATTGTCGTCGTGCGGAAACCGCTTGTCTGTCCCCAAAAGGCGATCGTCAGCATCAGAGAATGGGGGATTTGCGCGACGAGGAAACCAGAAAGAGAGAAAATTGTTGATCCGTTAAAGATTCAGAAGAGGCAAATGCACAGTATAATCAAGTCGGTTGATCATATGGGGTTGAAACAATTATGATTTAGGCAGTTCATCATTGGATCACAGAGAGATATCTGGGGATGAGACGCAAATGCGGGTCGGGGGTTCTTACCTGTCATGATAATCCGTTGGCCGCTAGCTGGGTGAACAACAGTAGACGGCGGCTTCGTGAGCTCCTTCACTCGGCGACGGCAGCGGTTATCTGACTGAACAGATCGCGGGCGGGCGACAAGGTCGGAAGCAATTTAACGAAGTTCAACCCCCAATAGGTCCTTCATTCTGCGGCCGACTTCTTCGTGCAATCCATTGACTTCTTCGTTTGTCAATGTCCTCTCGAGACTTCGGTAGTTGATCCGGTAACAGAGACTCTTCCTCCCTGTGGTGGGATGCACGAACTCGTCGACTAGTTTCACGTCTTCAACTAGACTGCCTGCCACGTCTCGTACAACTTCCATAATATCATTTTCGTGGAATGCAGCTGGCTGAGTTTCTGTTGGGGATGCTTTTGTGGCATCTCCCCCCGCAGCAGCAGCAACACCTGAGGTCGCGTGCGCTGGTTGTGAAGCGAGCGGTGATGATGCTGCAGCCATTGGTTTGATCCAGAATGCAATGTCCTTGTAGCAGGCAGGATATTTGCTGAATGGTTCGAACTTGGTGATCTTTCCACGAGTGAATTGTTTCAAAAACCTTGGATCGGTGGACCAGAACAGACGAATGTCAGGGATACCAAACAAGAGCATCGCGAAGCGCTCAATGCCTAGGCCCCAGGCCCAGCTGATATGGTCATTCAGTCCCGCTCTGTTTAGAATGGATTGCTTCACGACGCCGCTTCCCAGCAGCTCTAACCATTCTCCTCCATGCCACAGGACCTCCAGTTCGAAAGAGGGTGACGTGAAGGGGAAATAGGCTTCAATCCAGCGAGCTTGCATGGGGGCGTCGGTTCTGGCAGCGGAGGGAAGCGATTGTCGAGAGGCCTCAAGGATGCGGCTGATAAGATACTCGAGGCTTAGTTTGAGATGTTTGGCGACTTGTTGCACTTCCGCGGGGTCATGTTCAGGTTGCAGAGGGTTTGCAGTTCCTGTGAAGTCGGTGGCTTGGTCTTCTACAACGAGACCAGTCTTGGGCATCTCTTCACAGTCCCGCTCGATCTGAGCGGCTCGGTTCTGCTGGGCTTCCCAAACTCGGGCACCTTCCATTTGGTGGAAGACCGGAAAATGACTCCTGTCGATACTATCTCTGCGGTAGACATCAGCACAGATGGTGTACCCTTTGCTCGAAGGATTCTTTGCGAGCCACTTAAATGCGGCGTTTTGGTGTGCAGAAGTATGTGTGCGCAGGAGCTGAGATGAATTGACATAGTATGTATCTGTCCTTGAACGGCCTGGATGGTCCGCAGGGAAGCCTAGGATATCAAAATTGTCTCTGACTGTGACGACCGGATTCCCCATCGCGAAGTGTTTGAACGTCGATTCTTCGAAACATGACTCTATGAGCCTCCGCGTAATACAGATGGGGTGGTCAGGATGATCGTAGAGGTTACGACCGACGAGGTCTAGTATGGAGCTGGAGAGATTCGAGGTCTGATCGAAAATGTACGGTGAACCCAGAATCTTTGCTCCAGATTGTCCATTGTCGTGGACTATTTTGTTCTCCTGTCCCAACTCTTGCAGCTTTTTCTCAAACTTGACATGATCTCCGCTCTGGCTTGATGCCGCACCAGTCTTTGCCGGGTCGACCTCGTTGACAAGATTGACAGATTGTTCGGGAAAGGCTTGCTCTGCGGTTGCAGCTTGGGCTTGAGCATTGGAGGACGCCCATCTCGATGCTACGACGACTGGGGATGAGGTAGGAGCCCTTGAACAGCTAGGAATTGACAATCTGGCAGCTTGAGCGGCACGCACAAACGCTCCCGTCTTGAGAAGCCGCATCGGAAATATTGAGAAGGATTGGACTAGCCGTTCTAAACGGTATACATACGAATGGTTGTATGGAGCTTGGTGAAAAGCAGTGGGAGAACGCGGCACGGCGACCCGAAGTTTGATTATTTTCCTGAGCTCTGGACAGAGGTCAAGCTTTGTGGACCTGTCTGTATGTACGAGCACACAAGGTACATGGCTCGGAGCCGATATCGCTTTCTTCCACCCGGCTGTCTCGAGATTCCCCGTGTCTCTCGGAACGAGGCATCCTCCATCATCAATTTATCTCCGAATCCACCTAAACATTAAACATTGATTGATTGTACAGCTGCCGCAGTTTTTCTCCCCTAACCATTATTCCTCATTTAAAACTTACATACATATGTACCGGTAGCCCTGCGCTTCCGCGAGCATTCGTTACTGTTTGTTCCTCCTCTCTTCATTCCTATCTCTATCCTTTTGGGGCCTGCTTTCCTTTGATGTTTGCCGTTCGATAGACACGACTGCGACTTTTGGGAATGGAGCCATGGCCGA